CACAAGGGTCTGTGCTCAGCCACTGAGCGGCACCAGTGGGACTAGCATGTGCTCCCCCCCCCCCCACCCAGTGTGTGTGTGTGTATATATATATATATATATATATATATATATATATATATTTTTTTTTTTTTTTTTTTTTTTTTTTTTTCAGAGAGGGAGAGGGACAGAGAGCTAGAAACATCGAAGAGAGAGAATCATCGACCAGCTGCCTCTTGCACACCCCCTACTGGGGATGTGCCGACAACCAAGGTACATGCCCTTGACCGGGATCGAACCTGGGACCCTTCAGTCTGAAGGCTGATGCTCTATCCACTGAGCCAAACCGGTTAGGGCTAGCATGTGCTTTATTTTAATGTTTCTGGATATTTTTATTCCCTTTTGGGTATTTAAAATATGTATGTTTTCATTTTCATATTTCTGTTCCGTTCTTTCCCCTCAGTTTTACTGATGCCAAAGCTCTAGACGTTTAAAGTTCTAGCCTGTGCTTCCTCCCCTGTGGGTCCTTTAGTGAACTCAATCTATTGGACAACTTTAAAATAGAAATGTTCGAAACATTTCTTTGTAAGGAGTGAATTTAAAGTTAATTACCTCAGTGCCATGAAAAGCTATTTCAGGCACATAAATTAGCCTGAGTGTGGGGCAGGGACAGCGTGACCGGGCGTCGGTGAAATACCTTCTCCACGGAGAGTGCGTCCCAGGACGGCCCAGTGCTCCGAGCGCCCTGGTGGCCGTGGAGGCTGGCCCCGCCGGGCCCCTGCTCCTGCAGCTTGGCTGAGTCTGATTTATGGAGGAGGACTGAGGGCTTGTGAGAATGGATGGTCAGCAATTCCGTGAAAAGCAGTGAGTGTGTGTTCAGAGTCTCTCTTGGGCTTTAGGTCGTTAATCTAAATGCCTGCTTTGGTGATTGGAAACCCGCTAATTATGTGAACTGGACAGTTGTGAAGATTCCTTTGTCACGTGAATGATATGTATTTGAATTCCCTCATTTAATCTCGCAGAGTTGTTTTATACATACACATTTTTAGAGGTCTTCTTTAAATATGTCCACATTTGGGATTTTAGTGTAAATGCTGAAATTAAGGATCAACATTCCTTTAGGTTTCTATAATTAGCTTTCCTGTCTGAGGCTGAAATGAAGGAAGATTAAAGACTTCTCAAACATATTCTAGCTTTTGGCTTAAAGATCCTAACTAACATGTATCCAAAGTTTTAAAAAGTACTGCTCTTTACCTGTCTCTTGAGTGCTCAATATTTAGTCTGTCTTTCTTTTTCTTTTTTTTTTCTTTTTTTACCAATGAAAAGGCTTTATTTTGTTTGTTTGTTTGGAGCATTACAAATAGTAGTATATATATATCTCCTTTTTCCTCCCTTGACCTCCCCCCAGCCTCCCCTAGTCTGTCTGTTTTTCTATTTTTTATATGTAATTATAAGAGTGTTTGCCTCACTCTAAAAATTAATGTTTATTAAAGGTTTTTAAAAATTTAATATTTTTATTGATTTCTGAGAGGAAGGGAGAGGGAGAAATAGAAACATCCATGATGAGAGGGAATCATTGGTTGGCTGCCTCCCGCACGCCCCCTGCAGGGGATTGAGCCCACAATCTGAGCACGTGCCCTTGGTTGGAATCAAACCCAGGACTCTTCAGACCGCAGGCCGACACTCTGTCCGCTTAGCCTAGCTGGCTTAGGTTTTCCGAATGGGTTATAACACAAAGTGTGCAAAAGAAGGAAACAATTGTATATTTATAGGGAAAAGGTTAAATGGGAATATAAATCACAAGCTGGTGGGTGGGTGCCTTGTCTGCCTGTGAGAACTCCAAAATAGCCGCCTCCCCCCCCACCCCCCATTGTATCAGCCCTCCCTGCTGACCTCCCGCCGCCTGCTTCTCAGGCAGTGGGGCCTGGTCCCGAGGGCGCCCTCCCTGCTCTGCTCTGGGCGGGCTCTGGTGTTGGATTGTGCTCACGGCAGTTGGCCCACCCTGTCCTGTTGTGGTCCTGGCATGTGGGTGGAGTTCCTGCCTTCCCTCACTTTTGTTTTATTTTGTATTTTCGTCTGTTTTTTTAAAGAGAGAATGGAGGGGAAGGGATAGTGAGATAGAAACATCGATGCAAGAGACACATCAATTAGTTGTCTCTGGCATGTTCCCAGACCGGGGCTGGGATTGAGCCTGCAACTGAGGTCCGTGCCCTTGACTGGAAACCGGCTTCTAACCACTGAGAACCCCTGGCCGTGTGTGTGTGTGTGTGTGTGTGTGTGTGTGTGTGTGTGAGAGAGAGAGAGAGAGAGAGAGAGAGAGAGAGAGAGAGAGGGAGAGAGAGAGACTTCCAACTTCCATTCAATAAATGCTTATTTACACTTAAGGAAGCTTCTTTTTTGCATAAGAAGTAAAAGCTCTTTGGATTTATATGGCAAAATGCTTAAACCTATCGCCCCCGTTCGGTTTCCTCTGTGGTCCGCTGTGGTGCACACACGTGGTTTTCCTTTTTTTTCTTCCTGCTTTCCAGGCTCTGATGGCCTGGAGAAGTGTCCCCCATCCCCACCCCCACCCCAGCTCCACCCGGTGGGGGTGCCAGGCTGGCTGTGGCCTGCGCCCATGCGTTTCTCAGTCCCCAGAGGTGGGCTCCTCGCCTGCCAGTTAGTGATGTGCCCGCTGCTGCCTTAGCTTAGCCCCGCTCTGTGGACGGGACGGCATGCCATTCATCTCGCAGGCTGCTCACAGAACTGAATTGGCTCATACAACCCAAACGTGTTAGCAAGTGTGCAATGAAGTTTTGGTTTATCATGTGTTGCTTCCATATTTACATTGCTTGCTACTAATGCTCCTTCTGTGTACTCACACATGCGCGGACTCTTTGATGTGTGCTTCTGTCCCCTGTTTAATTGTAAGTCCCCCCCACCCCCAGCTTTATCAAGCAGAGTGGACAGCTGACAGCTGCATGTGTCGAGGGTGTACAGCGCTGACTTCACATGCGTGTGGGGCGGCGTGGGGGCGGCCCGGGCTGTAAGAGGCGCTGAAGGGGCAGCACTCCTGCGTGGGGAAGGCGCCACGTGAGGCATGCTGCTCTCCGGTGGAAACACAACCACTCCCCTCCTCTGCCATTAACGACCACATTGTGCCAGTGGGCGCGCCAGTCACTGCTCATGAGACGGAAAGACGGATGCCGCGGAGTGAGACCAGGACTTGGGAGCCAGATCTCAGGAGAATCTCGGTGCCTCGCTGAGCTGGCAGTCACTGCGCCTGGGTGACTGCGGGTGGCTGCAGTGAGCGTGCCAGTGAGAGCCCCGCCTGGGTGACTGTGGGTGACTGCAGTGAGTGTGCCCCGTGAGAGCCCCGCCTGGGGTGCGGGTGGCTGCAGTGAGCGTGCCCGGTGGAGCCCCGCCTGGGGAAGGGGCCTGGAGGCCGGGTTCTGAGCGCCCATTCCCAGGGGCGCTGGGCAGAGCTGGCATCCGCTCCCACAGGAGGAGAGAGGGATGTTCACTATGCTGACGCTCAGGCTTTCCCGTTATCTCAGCTTCTAGGAATTCCATGTTGGAGGAACTTTCTGTTCGAAGAACTTTCGTACTGATCCTCGCTTTCTGAGCGTTTTTATTGTTGTTGGCTGTCGTTTTTTCCAGAAGCTTTCCCCTTATTTGTTGAACCACACGTGTTTTCTGGAAATAGGGTAAATGACGTCAGCTGGTTTCCAAACGCCCATCTTGCACCCCTGGGTTAATCTCAGATCTCCTGGTCCTCTCTCCGAGGTCGCTGAGGTCCTGTGTTCACAGTTCTGCGGAGGACTGCGTTTGTGCGTTTGTGTCCTCGGGATCTTCCTCTCCCTGCGCTCTGGGGGATGCCTGCCGCCTTCTCCCCTGGCCGCCGCCCGGCAGCCAGCAGCTCCTGCGCGGGTCCCTCTCCCCGCCCCGACGCGGCTTGCTGGCTGGCGGGGGGACAGCTCCAGGGCCGCCTGGGCACTGCCCGGGGGAGTCTCCGTGAGAGGTGCCGGGGAGCCCCATCGCTGACACGTGCTGCCCGCTCAGCTCTGAGCATGTGTCCGCGCCTCCTGTGAATGTCAGGAGCGCAGGCCGATACGTGAGCGGGACCCAGATCAGCAGCCAACAAAGGGACCACGTGGTGCCGGAGACAGAGCTGGAGAACAGGGGGAGGAACCAGGGAGGTGGGGCCCCGTGCCATCCGAGGGGAAAGGTGGGGCCTCCAGCCGTGGGAACTGATGGAGAACGAGGAAGCTGTGGGGAGGGAAGCCGTTGCCAGGACAGGAGCCCCGGGGGCTGGGGGAGAGGGGACTGAGGAGGAGTCCCTGTGCAGGTCCAGGATGGATGGCCCGTGGCGTGGGCTTGCTGGTTGAGGAGGAGGACTGGTCCAGAAGGCGGTGCGTGCACAGTGCTGGGGGGCGCCTGGGCGTGTGCGCCTGTCTGCACACATGAGTGTGTGAGCGTTGTTCACAGGCCTAATGCAGACTGACCCCATGGGGGGCGTGCAGGCGTGGAGCTGGTGCCCCTCTCCATCCAGCCCGGCACCTCGGTCCTCATTCCCCGTCTGGGACATGGTGGTCGTCACAGTACCCGGCTCTCAGAGCCGTGGCGGCAATGGAAAGCGTGAGCTGGTCACTCACCTGGCACAGTGGGCAGCGCATTCTAAGTGCCCATCAAAGGAGTCGCTGTGAGGACCACCAAACAGATGGATGTGTGTCAGATGCTGAAGAAAAATACACTGAAGAGTAACCGACGGCCATCCTGGGCTCATGGCAGGCTCACACATTTTCCAGTGCCCTTTGACCTTACGAATCTGCAGAGAATGAATGAGTGAGTGAGTGAATGAATGAATGAGCCCCTTAATTGTAGCTTTCACTTACGGTGCTGAACCCTCCTCCTGTATCAGTCTTCTGATTGTTGAAGAACAGCACGTTCGTGTGTTTGTAAGCATCTGAGTGAAGCTTTATAAATTTAACTGTTTCATCTCAATTACAGGCGTCGGCTGGTGAGGTAGAAGGAGCAGAACCATGGCTCAGTTTCCGGCGCCTTTTGGTGGTAAGTGTTCAGAGATTTTCCTTTCTAGTGTATTTGGAACCTGTATTGGTCACTTAGTATTGTGGTGCATTTCAGCCGTTCACGTAAGTAGAGGGAATAATATAATTAACCACCTTATCTGTGCTCATCTCAGAGTTTCACTGACAGCAGCCATGGCCCATATTGCTTCATCGGATTCTCTGGAAGTGACTCTCAGGCATCAGTCCTTTCATTCATCAGTGTTTTAGTGCCCGTTTCTAAGGCTGATGCTCTTAGTGACGTCGTCACGATCCCTCTGCATCCCCCACGGGGCACAGGAGTTCCTGGGGGCAGTGCTGGTCCCTGAGCCGCGGCTGCTGTCAGGTTTGTTCAGATCTGATCCAACAAGGATCGTGCCCGGCAGCTAGTTAGTCCTGCGTCTCCGCCTGCGTCTCCGGCCGCTCAGCCCCTCCGTCCCCGGCTCCCTTTGCGGTTTGTTAGTTGAGGTGACCGGGTCACTGGTTCTGTGCTTTCTCTGAAGCCTGGGTTTAAAGTGGGACTTCTATTTGTCCCACTTTACCTGCTGAAAACATCCTGTCCATCTGCAGAAATGAGTTTTGGGGTGAACTTCCCAGCACGTTGGGAACCTGTGAGATGCTGTTTCCGCTCGCTGGCTGAGTTCTTTCTGGAGAGTGTGCCGTGCGGGGCCGCCCGCTGCCCTTGGCCCTCACGTCCCCGTGGGATTCTGTCCGGAAGGAAGTCGGCAAAGTTTTCAAACCTTTAGTGTTATTTCATCTTGTGTTTTGATTTCGTCCACCTTCTCAACTACTTTCTCTGTGGTTGTGTTCTGGGCTTGCGTTGTTTATAGGGCGTGAACAGCTCTTCCGGAACTCACTGGACTGTCAGGCCTGGGAGGGAGGGACCAGGTTGGAACCGCTCTGGCTTCACCCCCGATACCTACCCAGCGCCTGGCACCTATCTCTGTTCAGTCTCTGTCTCCAGCGAGTCGCTGCCACCGGCCTCTGCCAGTGAGGTGCCAGGGCTGGCGGTGTCAGACACGTGGCTTTGTGCTGGGCATGGTCACCTGTTGCTCAAAACATGCACATACCGCCTGTTCCCCTGCTGGGGCGTGTCTGACGCTGTGAGAGCCTCTGCCGTGGCATCTGCCATGGTTTGGTGAATGTGAGGAGACAGGCCTGAGGGAGGACGGTCCCAGAAGCGAGGGGACTACTGCTCCTTCTCAGCTGAAGCTGGAGGAGGACCTACATCCTGTTCTCTGGTTTTCCGTTAAACATCACAGCCTCGGAGCGGTGCCATTTACAAGCATAGAATTCACTGGTCCCCACCGCGCAGCCGCAGTGCTTTTGTGAATTTATAGCCATTCACCGTCGCGAGGGTCCGGCTCCCCAGTGTTCCCTCGCCTCCGGAGGTTCCTGCCCTCCCTCGGACCCCACTGAGCTCAGCTTCTTCTGCCCCTTCGCTTGTGGCTTCTAAGATGGTGGTTTAAGTGCGAGAGTGAGTGCTGAGTGACTCGCTGCCTCCTCCTGCGGCCTGCTCGCCACGGGCTCCGGGACAGCTCGTATCACAGAATTCAGGCCCGTTTCCTTTCTGGGTGGGAAGCGCTGTTCACGCTTGATTTTCTGTGTGTGCATCACGTCCAGGACAAGCAGCTGCTCATTTATCAGAGCATGGACAACGCAGTGACATGCTCCTCACGTGACAGGGACAGGTCACGTGAGCACCTGGCTTGCTCTTGGTCACTCACTAATCCGCCATCTGCCCTTCGCTCGCAGGCAGCCTGGACCTCTGGGCCATCACGGTGGAGGAGAGAGCGAAGCACGACCAGCAGTTCCTCAGCCTGAAGCCCGTCGCCGGGTTCATCACAGGTAATGGCCTCGGCGGCCTCACTGTTCCCCCTCAGTGCCGCGTGTGTCTGAGAACCTGTTAGCAAGCTCAGGTGGGCTCCGAGTGACGGGGGAGAGGCACCGTCGCCTTCTCCTCGCCCTGCTCGGTGACAAGGCTTTTCCCAGGAGGCATTCAGGCGTGTGCAGCGGAAGGACCCCTCCGTGTCCTGTGTCCCGGACTTCCCTCTGACCTTGGCCTCTCCCGTTGTCTTTCCTGTTTGTTACTCTTCAGGCATTGCTTTCGGGACGACGAGACCTAGATTCCCTGGGCTCTTGTTTGTGTGTGTTTTGTCTCTTAGTTCTCTTTACCTTATTAAATCTTAGCCACTGAGGTGATCGTTAAAAACCGTGGTGACTGCCCCAGCCTGTTTGGCTCCGTGGATAGTGTCAGCCTGCAGACTGAGGGGTCCCAGGTTCGATTCTGGTCAGGGGCCCAGGCCTGGGTTGTGGGCACATTCCCAGTGTGGGGCGTGCAGGAGGCAGCCGGTCCATGATTCTCTCCCATGGATGTTTCTAACTCTCTCTCCCTCTCCCTTCCTCTCTGAAATCAATAAAAATATTTAAAACAAACAAACAAAAAACCGTGTTACTTACTCCCCGTAAGTGCGAAGTTCTAACAAGTAGAGATGAGCGCCCCTCTCTGGAGGTCCCCGCATACGTCCTTGTCACATGTGTGGCTGTCCCCATCCTGGTCAACTCAGCTGACTTCATGTGGACAGTGTCCACCGCCAACAGCCGCCCATTGTGACGTTGGTTTAAGGCGCTGAGCTCCAGAGCCAATGCTGACTGCCGACGGCTGTCCTGTCCTGTGGACCTGCTGTCCGCTCTGTCACACACTCAGTGCCTGGTGACAGGGCTCCCAGCCTCTGCCTTAGCTCTGCAGTTTCACTAAGAAACTGTCTGCCATCGTTTCGCTGCTGTTCTGGTCTGACACTTTCCTCTACTTTACAGGTGACCAAGCGAGGAACTTTTTTTTCCAGTCCGGGTTGCCTCAGCCTGTGCTGGCACAGATATGGTAAGTGGGAACACCATATTCCCAAGTAAAACATTCCAGGGATAGGATTCTTATGCTGTGGGAGGAGACCGCCATCCAGGCCTGAAAGGCTTGTCGTGTGGACCTTGAAAAGGGGTGACTTGCCAGATGGTGCTGCCAAAAGGGTGGAATTTCCAGTTGAGAAATCTGCTTTTTTGGTATTTTCTCACTAGTTTGTTTTAACTGCACCCTTCCTCCTCTGAATGTCCCCCGTTTCTTGCTTTATTATGGAGAGTTCTGCATCTTCCATTGAATAAGAGGCAACACACACGCACACACGCACACGCGAGGGTTAGTAGGGAATAGTGTTCAGAATAGCAAAGCTTTCCTGGGGAATGCGGCCACGTTTGGGTGTGAATATTATGAATATATTCATGTTGAGACCAAACGGCGCCGCATTCCTGTGCGTTTGGCTTTTGCTTTATTTTCTCTCTCGGGCTGTCAGCACATTGGCTGCCAGACCCTCCCTCCCCCTGGTGAGCCTCCTGGCTCTGACCTCTGAGCTGCTGTGAGCTTGGGAAATCAGATAGCCAGGAATTTCTGTAAAAATGTTTGGAATTACTTTTAAAATTAAGTAGAAGGCAGAGAGAGAGAGAGAGAGAGAGAGAGCGAGCGAGCGAGAGCGAACACTGACCTGTCAGTGAGTGCCTGAGTTTGAATGGAGGAGACGTGTGTGTGTGTGTGTGTGTGTGTGTGTGTGTGAGAGAGAGAGAGAGAGAGAGAGAGAGAGAGAGAGAGAGAGAAGAGAGAGGTGGGGTCAGGGTGGGGGCGGCAGGAGGGGAAGAAAGGGCACCAGCCTGGCAGTGAGGCCTGAGTTTGATGGAGGAGGCCTGTGCCTCCCTGGCTCTGCGCTGACGTATGATTGTGTTTCTCACCATTAGTCAGGACCACGCACTAGAACCTTCCTTCCCCGGCATCACTCCCTCCACTGAATCCCGCTTCCCGCTCTCTCCCTGCGGGAGGCTCCTCAGGAAGGGCTGCGATGCCGCTGCGCGTGGGCCCGTTCGCGTGGGAGGGTATTTATCAGGCGTGGACTCGGGGTCGGCGAGCATTGTAGGTGCTGGGCTGTAGCCGTGGACAAAGCAGACAAATCCATGCTTTCATGGAAGTCACAGCCTGTAGCTAATCGCAGTATAAAAATGGTCAGTAAATTTCATTTTTTTAAAAAACATATTTTATTGAATTTTTTACAGAGAGGAAGAGAGAGGGAGAGAGAGTTAGAAACATCGATGAGAGAGAATCATCGATCAGCTGCCTCCTGCACACTCCCCACTGGAGATGTGCCTGCAACCAAGGTACATGCCCTTGACCGGAATCGAACCTGGAACCTTTCAGTCCACAGGCCGACGCTCTATCCACTGAGCCAAACCGGTCAGGGCAAATTTCTTTTTTTTTTTTTTTTTTTTTAGATTAAGTTGTTTTCTAAACTATTTCAGTGTATCAAAGACATTTTTCCAACTTATTTTATGGTGAAAATTTTTATTAACAATACAGATGATGAATTGCTAGTAAAAAATGTTTTTGCCTTTAATTTTTTGGTGACAGTTTGTTAAATAAACTTGTGATGTCATTTTTTATTGGAGCTGGTATTTATTAGGCTCTGGCCGGCTTTGCTCAGTGGATAGTGTCAGCCTGCAGACTGCAGGGTCCGGTGAAGGGCATGGGCCTAGGTTGTGGGCTCAATCCCCGGCCCTGGATGTGCTCGGTGGGATGTGTCTCTCACATCAGTGGTTCTCTCTCTGTCACTCCTCGCCCTCCCCTCTCTAACAGTCAGCGGAAGTTCCCCTCGAGTGGGGATCAACAGGAGCATTGCCGTCGGAGATGGACTCCGCGTCTTTCCCAGGGAAGTGTCCGCAGGGCTCGCAGCTCCCGCGCCTGGAGCTGGGCCGGTGCTGGGCCGAGGGCGGCTCTGTCCTTGCTCTGCAGCCCTGAGCGGCACTCACCTCTTCAAACTTAGGGTTTTAAATTTATCAGGAAGAGCAGCTGACCTCATGAGTGGAGTCACCTTTTTCCTCTCGCTGACCTGTGTTCTCGTGTGGTTTGGCTAGGAGGGAGCCAGGGCAGGCCCGTGCCTCCTGGCACACGAGGATGGGTTTGCCGCTGTTTCCGCCTCTCCCTGTGCCAGTCGCTGCGCAGCGGAAACTGGATTGGGCATGAGGAGCCAGTGCTGTCTGTTTTCTGGCCGCCTTGCTTTGCTTTGGACCTCCCGTGCCCTGTGTGAGAGACGTGGACTCCGGAGCATGTCATGACTTTGCTCCAGGCAGAACCTGTATTCCAGTGGCCTCGTTGGTGGCCTTTGCGCCGTGGCCTGCCAGTGCTTTAGGCTGCCCCTCTGGGCCACCCCGGTTTCCAGTAGGAACGCGAGGAGACAAGTTCTCAGAGCTCGGCGTCAGGTCGGTGCGGGCAGGGCGGATGCTGACACGCCTTCCTGGCCACGTCTCCCTCAGGCGGGGAAGGCAAACAGCCGGTCGGCACCGCCCTGCGCACAGCTGCTCCGCTGCCCCGGACTGCGGGGGAGGGGAGGGCAGGGCAGGAGAGCCAGGGCGAATGAGGCTTTGGAGTCAGAAGCTGCAGGGCCGCAGCCCTGGGGTGAGAGGTTCTGAGGAGGGAAATGGGGTGGGGGAGCACCACCGAGAAACGGGCCCTGAAGGGGAGGAGGGGCCAGAGCCAGAGAGAGAAATCAGAACAGCCTGTGACGCAGCCCGCAAAGGGGAAACAGCATGGAACACTGCTGCCTCCGGCTCCTGGAGCGGCTTCAGCGCAGCACGGTCGGCGCCAGAGCCGGGCACCGAGGCCGGTCACACTGGGCTGGAGTACGCCCCCCTCCCGCGTCTCCATGTGTCTCCATGCGTTCCTGGCATGAGCATCTGTCCCGCGTGGGCGCCATGCTGCACCCCTCCCCTGCCCCCCTGCTCACCCGTCCCTCAGCGCGCACGGGGTCCATGCCCAGCCTTTGTCCCCAGTCCGGCCCTCTGGCTGCACTGCGGCCACCTCTGCCCCTTCCCCTGGCCGCTGCCTGAACGTCCCGCCTGGAGTCCCTCGCCCTCCGCGCCTTAGGTTCCAGCCTCCAGAGGCACCCCAGCAGCCTTATAATGGCACCCCCCTTCACCCTCCAGTGAGGACAGACCCGGCCTCACTGCCAAGGCCACGGACCCAATGCTGCACCTGCTCTGGTGTCGCCTCTCACTTCACCTGCTTCTCGTTCGGTGCCTCCAGTTTCTCTGGCCTTTCCCTTCCTGCACGGCCAGGCTTCCCACCAGCACTGCAGCCTCCGACTCCCACCGCGGTCCTGCCCTCCCAGAGGCCTGCGTCCTGACCATGGTCCCGGGGCTCCGCTGACCCTGTGCCGGCCACATCCTCTCCCCCCGCCTGGCCTCGTCCCCTCGTCCGGCCACGTCCTCTCCCCCCGCCTGGCCTCGTCCCCTCGGGGCACTCCCTGTGGAAGAGCTGGCTCCGTCTTGTCTCCTGGCTGTCCTAAAAGGCAGCCTCCGTGTGGGCAGGAACCTGGTCTGTCTGTCGCACAGTTGGATCCCAGTTCCTAGATAGTGCCTAGTCGTGGGAAGAGGTGACCCTGTAAAAATATCTGTTGGGCCCTAGCAAGGTTGCTCAGTGGATAGTGTTGGCTGAAGGGTCTCGGGTTCGATTCCAGTCAAGGGCATGTACTTCTGTTGTTGGCTTGATCCCCAGCCCTGATGGAGGCAACTGATCTGTCTGTCTCTCTCATTGATATTTGTTCTCTTTCCAAAAATTAGTGTATTTAGCTTGGATGCCAATAGGGTTGTTTGTAGACTTGATAAAGATCTCAGAGTTCATAAGGAAAAAGATCTGTAAGTAGCCTCACAAAGTTTTGTTTTAAAAAAATATATATTTTATTGATTTTTCACAGAGAGGAAGAGAGAGGGATAGAGAGTTAGAAACATCGATGAGAGAGAATCATCGATCAGCTGCTTCTTGCACACCCTCCACCGGGGATGTGCCCGCAGCCAAGGTACATGCCCTTGACTGGAATCCAACCCGGGACCTTTCAGTCCGCAGGCCGATGCTCTATCCATTGAGCCAAACCGGTTTCGGCAGCCTCACAAAGTTTCTAAAAACAACAAAAAGCCTGGCTAGAACGTAGCTAGAGCAGGTGAGATCAGAGCATGGCCACGCGATGCAGCTGCCCAGCAGAATAGAGTCCAGAAAGAGGTCTCACTTCAGTGAGCACCGATTAACATTTTCACCCCCGGAAAGAAGCTCCGTTTGACTTCCCAAGGCCGGGCCCTGACATTCAGGTGGGAAGCCGCCTCATGTGCCACATGAGCGGACAGCGCGGTGTGGGCGTGTGTGATGCCAGAGGCGGTGCTCCCGCGGACTCCCGTCGCTCGAGGCACGCTCTGTTCGGTGTTGCTTTGGCTCCAGCTCTCCCAGGAGTGGGGCTGGTGACGTGTGTCCGTGTGGGTGGGGCTGGGGCTGGGGGAAGGTCACGGTCACGGTCACGGTCGTGGTCTTGAAGCCGCGTGTCGTCTGCAGGGCCCTTGCTGACATGAATAATGACGGGAGGATGGACCAGGTGGAGTTCTCCATCGCCATGAAGCTCATCAAGCTGAAGCTGCAGGGCTACCAGCTGCCGGCTGCGCTGCCCCCCATCATGAAGCAGCAGCCGGGAGCCATCTCCGGCGCCCCGGCCTTCGGTGAGTGAGGGCAGCGGCTCCTGCAGCTCCCCGAGCGTCTGCCTGCCCCTCGCAGCCCCCAGCCTGCGGGCCCAGCAAAACCGCCGGGAAGGGTGGCCCAGGGGGGAAAGGGGTCCTGCCCCCAGCCCCCCTCAGCCACCTCAGTGAGGTGCAGACAGACATCCCTGCAGAGGCTCGAGGGTCTGAGGAGCTCTTGTGTCGGGAACAAGGAGTGACGGGAGACCAGACATTGCACAAAGGCTGCTGCTATCGGCCAGCAGTGTACAAGGGGCTCGGGACCAGGCACTGGGCGCAGCCGGGGGGGCCTTTCCTCAGTGACGAGCGAGGAGAGGGAGCAGAAGGAGCACTCATTGCACTTCGATCGTTTCTCTGTTGTTCGGCTGGAATCCTCTGGAAGGAGAGCCTTCCCCAGATGGCTGGCTGCTCTGAGGCTCAGTGTGGAGGTCCGGCAGGAGCAGCGGGGGGGTTTATTCCTTACTTACTAGTTTGCAGACAGACTGCAGGCCCGTGGTGACCAGCAGGGTTCCTGCACCGGGTTGGTTCTGACGGCCTGTGAGTCCCGCGTCCCGTCTGTGCTGCCCGGGCTTGGCGGTTCTGCTGCTGATCCGTCACTCTGGCCAGCAGGTCCCTCGCTGGGCGTCTTGGTCCCTCGCAGAATTTGCTGCTCTTCCACACGAGGGCCCGGATGCATGTTCTAGCCCTGTGGTCGGCAAACTCATTAGTCAGCAGAGCCAAATATCAACAGCACAACGATTGACATTCCTTTGGAGAGCCACATTTTTTAAACTTAAAATCCTTCTAACGCTACTTCTTCAACATAGACTCACCCAGGCCGTGGTGTTTTGTGGAAGAGCCACCCTCAAGGAGCCAAAGAGCCCCCTGTGGCTCGTGAGCCACGGTTTGCCGACCACGGGGCTAGAGGGAAGCTCTCCTTTCAGCAGACCTGGGCCATGTCACTAAGGCTGAGACGTGCCTCCGTGTGACCGCTGCCTTCTTCCCCGCAGGTGTGGGCGTGGCCAGCATGCCGCCGCTGCCGGCGGTGGCGCCGGTGCCAATGGGGACCATCCCTGTGGTTGGGATGTCCCCCCCCCTCGTGTCCTCCGTCCCTCCGGCAGCAGTGCCTCCCCTGGCCAACGGGGCGCCCCCTGTCATGCAGCCGCTGCCCGCCTTCGCTCATCCCGGTAGGTGCCTGGGGACCGCGGGCCAAGGTTTTGACCCAGGTTCACGAGAAATCTCTGTCTTCTTTCTGAGTGTAGTTAGGCGGCATTCTGTTCCAGAGGAAAGTCTGTTCATTTAATTCCTCGTTTTTTTTTCAACATATCACATGGGAGGTGTGAGGCTGACATGAAGAGGATTAAAAAGTCCCCCGTTTAATTTGGAAACGTTGTCCAAAGTCTTTTCCCTTCATTCATAAATGGGACAGCCTCAGCCTGACAGTCTGACTAGCTCACACCGACACGGAGTGGCACTCGTTAAAGCGTGTGGGACGTTCGAGCACATTCGGTGCTGGTGCCACGTGGGCTGTAGCGTTTGGATGTGAACCCTGCGCTCAGCCTGGTTCATCACGCCTGTCAGGTGTGTCTTTAAGTCACAGCCAAAGAATATGAGTGAGCCTCTTTCAAAACTCAAAAATCGTTATGTTTTTATTGATTTCAGAGAGGAAAGGAGAGGAAGCGAGAGAGAGAAACATCCATGATGAGAGAGAATCATTGACCAGCTGCCTCCTGCACGCCCCCCACTCGGGATCGAGCCCCCAACCCGGGCCTGTGCCCTGACCGGGAATCAGACTGTGTCCTCCTGGTTCGTAGGTCCACGCTCACCACTGAGCCACACCAGCTGGCTGAACCGCTTTTGTTAAAGATTTTCTCGTCACATGTCGTTCACCCTTCACACGTGGCCATGGCTGCGGATGTGCTGGCTGAGAGGCAGCGCCTGCCGTGGTCCCAGCAAGGCAGGGCCTCCAGCACCTCCTGCTTTCTCTCATGGCCGAGGGCAAGGCTGCACACGTTAGGCAAGGAGGAGGGGCTGTGGCTTCTCTCTCTTCCACTGGGGACGCCCTCTGCTCCTCGGTGCAATGAGCACCGTGCTGTCCCGGTATTTAAGCTCTTCCCCCCCTGACTGCTGACAGATCTCATGAAATGTGATGCTGAATGTTTGATGAAAGCAAAACTTTGTGGGTGTAAACATTACCACTTCGGTGACTTTCCGTAGGAACAAGCAAATCTAGAAACATTTGGCCAGAGGGTGGGAGCGAGGCGGGGGTAACTTTTGAGTCCAAGATGGGAAGGAAGGAGGAGTGCTTTCTGCCTCAGCCCTGATGACTCTGCGTCTTAATTTTCGTAAGTGGGAAAGTTTCTTGCGTTTGTGGAACTAAAATCATTCAACATCTATCTATCTTCACAGCAGCCGCAGTGCCAAAGAGCTCTTCTTTCAGCAGGTCTGGCCCCGGGGCCCAGCGGAGCACCAAGTCACAGAAGGCGCAGTCCCTGGACGTGGCCGGGTGAGTGCTTGTCTGAATGGGCGGCTGGGTGAAGTGAACTGAGTAACTCGGAACGGTGAAATGCCGAGCTGTGCTCCGTACCACCTTTTCTCTTGTGGAATGGCAAAATGTCTCGATTCTGGTTTCGCCATTTGTTTCTCAGATAACCTATGTCGTCCTTGAGAATCGACAGTAGAACCGTATTTAAGGTCGATTTTCATGAAATGAACATTCCGATGAATGGACAGATGCTGTCCACCAGTGTGTGCCTCCATTTTGGCAAAGCTTGCATGATTTTATTGCTTGTATTTCGGCGGGTCTCGGTTTCATGTCGTCTCTCACACTTTCATTTTCTCTGCCCTGACCTCTCCCCTGCGTGGCCGCCCCACGCGGGAAAACCAGGCCCGGCTTGTGCGCCGTCTCAGCGCCTGGAAGGACAGGGATGTGGCGAAGGCGGTCCCGTCTCTCTGTTTCTGTCCTCTCTAGAAATCTCCCCTATGCATCAAGGTGCTTCCACTTTAGAGTGTGTTGGGTATAATTCAGAAGGGCCTCGCCTTCTGCAAGGCGATTAAAGGAAATCTGTGAGTGAGGCCCTGCCAGCTGCTTTATGCCCGTTACCTCGCGTGATGTCACTTCTCCCCGGGAAGTGACTCACGCCCCGAGCTCAGACCGGAGGGGCCTGCTCAGACTGGCGCCCTCCGTGCCCGCGCTCAGACTGGACCAGCTGCTTCTGATCGGAAGGCACGCTCTCGCCTGTGGAGGTTTGCTCCCAAACCTCAGTGACTGACAGAAAACAAACACTCCGGTTGCTGTGGTTACAGATGCCTGTGCTCCACCGAATGGAGACTCAGACTCAGGAGCCTTTGTGAGCGTCTGCTCAGCAGACACCTGGTTAGCCCCCCTCTACTCACCCCTCCCCTCCTGCATCCTCCTGGGCAGGAAGGACTGTCTCAGAACTGTGCCCGGGGACATGAACCCAGAGAGGTAGCTGCCCACCCAGGGTCACGGCTGCTCACCCGGGGTCACGGCTGCTCACCCAGGGTCACGGCTGCTCACCCAGGGTCACGGCTGCCCACCCAGGGTCACGGCTGCCCACCCAGGGTCACGGCTGCTCACCCAGGGGTCACGGCTGCCCACCCAGGGGTCATGGCTGCTCACCCAGGGTCACGGCTGCTCACCCAGGGGTCATGGCTGCCCACCCAGGGTCATGGCTGACCAGCACACGGCTGAGGTCCACATGAGGATCCTCTCGCCCTGGACCCCACATCCTCCTCCAGCACCGCGGCTCTGCTCCCTGCTCTCCGCAGGATGGCCAGTCTCAACGGTGATTTATGACGTTCGAATGAACGAACAGTCAGCTCTCAGCACACGGAGCCGGTGGAGACGCGTGTTTTAGGTAGTCATCTGGTCAGTGATGTGAATTTCCAGCCCAGGCCTGTGCGGTGGCGGCTGACTGGTTGCCTGTGGATGAGCTCTCAGGCTGTGCATATCCTCAGGAAGCTGGCAGCAGCTCTGTCTCCATAAGGGTGATCGGGGGGGGGGGGGGGGGGGGCGCCCAGCCCGGGTGCAGGGGCAGATAACGGCCTCCGGGCAGGCAGACGGGCTGGAGCCGCAGGCGGGGCGCTGGCTGACAATGCGGGAGCTGCTGCCGAAGTGCGCTCCGCAGCCCGGGCGGCGGTGAGTGCTTCCGTGGGTACTTTATGAAGACGGAACGGTGGCCTTGCCAGGCTTCCCCGCCGGGGGCCGCCTCCTGTGCGTACAGAGTCTCACTCAGCGTGCCAGGCCGCCATGCAGGACGGCTGGAGGCTCAGCTGATGGGACAGCTCTGCTTTCCTGTGAGAAATAGGCATTTTCCTGGAAGTGAAAGGAAGTGGCCAGTGGGCACGAGGCTCTCAGCCGGGAATGGATGCGCCGTTGCTGGCACTGTGTGGATTGTTGGCTCTTCACAAGCCCGGGGCCAGGGGGGCCGGTGGGCCTGTGCTGCCCTCGGGCGAAGCCAGCTCCATCGCCCTCAGCGCTCCTTTCTGGGAAGGGCTTGTTCGTGGGATTGGAACTTCCCAGAACAGGACGGCTTCCCGGATTAAGACGTACATCCTGTGTGTTGGTGGTAGAAAGTTAGGCATGTTGGAGAATCAGTACCTGTGAAGGGAGGGTTTGCCAGCTGTCAGCACTGCTTTGTAACCAGAGAGCTGCTCTAGCGGCTGCAAAGCCTGGACATTGGTGGGCCATCTCAGTTCCAAGGGCCCATGCCTTTGTGGACCCTTGGAATTACTAAATTGTGTGTAAAAGTCATGTTGCACTTACCCTGGATTCTAGAAAAATCATAAGCTTATTTTATCTCTTATGAAAGATGTTTACGACCATAAAAAGTGGACATGCTCCTTCCAGAACATTCAGAGATGGCGGTTCAGAAGTGAGCAGAAGGTCAAAGGCAGCTTTCCGGAGATGGCTGACCTCACGCCTCCCTCTGCTTCCTCCGCAGCGCCCCGCCGCTGGCCGAGTGGGCGGTGCCCCAGTCCTCGCGGCTCAAGTACCGCCAGCTGTTCAACAGCCACGACAAGACCATGAGCGGCCACCTGACAGGTACGAGAGCGCGGGCTTGGAAAGGGGGCTCTGGGGAAGACACTTCGTTTGAGATGGTGGCCAGAGACAGGCTCCGAGCGCCGTTCCCCTGGCTCCTTTCCAGCCAGGTTTTCACGGGGCTCCCGGCCTGGCCTGTGTCCGTACATACAGCCGTGGTTGCTGTGTGCTCGCCCATGGCCCGGTAAATGGAAGGAGACCTGGACCCTCCTCCCTCCCCCGCTGGCGTGCAGCAGGCCCTGGGAACCCCGCCGGGAACCCCGCGCCAGGTCCTGAGCCGGCTCTGTAGGTGCACTTGGCCGGCCACGCGCAGGCTTAAGGCAGTGAGAAGGGGAGGCGACTGGGAGGGCGGGGCCAGCTCTGCCGCCGAGGTGGCACCACGCTGCCTGCTGGCTGTGACCTCACGGTAAGAGGCGAGGGCGGAGGGGCCTGGAGGCTGTCGGGCGGACGGAGGACAGCGCACTGTGAGTGAGGGAGTGAGATCTGAGAGGAGACTCAGTGCCCGGGGGGAGGTCGCTGCCCACTGGCGAATGCGCAGGAGGCTGAGGCCTGTTTTCTGGTGTTGGGTTCACACCTCCGTGCCTCCCTCTGCACACAGCCATTACATGTGTCCTCCATGCCTCCCCCTGCACACGGTCATTACACACATCCTCCGTGCCTCCCTCTGCACATGGTCGTTACATGTGTCCTCCGTGCCTCCCTCTGCACACGGCCATTACACACATCCTCTGTGCCTCCCTCTGCACACGGTCATTACATGTGTCCTCCATCCCTCCCTCTGCACACGGTCATTACACACATCCTCCGTGCCTCCCTCTGCACACGGTCATTACATGTGTCCTCCGTGCCTCCCTCTGCACACAGTCATTACACACATCCTCCGTGCCTCCCTCTGCACACGGCCATTACACACATCCTCCGTGCCTCCCTCTGCACACGGCCATTACACACATCCTCCGTGCCTCCCTCTGCACATGGTCGTTACATGCACGTGAAGAGCCTCCCGGGCCGGCCCTGGGGAGTGCTGGGCAGGGGAGCTGTCAGCTGCTTAGCATGGTTTGCTTGGTCCCTTCATTGAGCTGCATCCATGTGCACATGTGTAAGTGCATAGGCACATAGTCATGTGTGCTCTTGCATGTAAGGTAGACGTTGACAGTGATGATAACTGTGTGCTGAATGTGCTGGCTCCTGCTGTGGCTCCTTGTGTGATAGGCCATCAACTGGGCAATGTGGAAAGGTTCGGGTTCGGGTTAGGATTGGGGTTATGATCAAGGTTATGGTTCAGGTTAAGATTAGGGTTAGGATTGGGGTTAGGGTTAGGATTGGGGTTAGGGTTAGTGTGGGGGTTAGGATTGGGGTTAGGGTTATGGTTATGGTTCAGGTTAAGATTAAGGTTAGGGTTGGGTTTAGGGTTAGGGTTGGGGTTAGGGTTAGGGTGGGGGTTAGGATTGGGGAGGATGCTAACTAGCCCCTCAGCACATCCTGGATTGAGCCAGGCCGGAGCCCCGCCCCCGGTCACAGTGCTTTTGCTGGCGTTCTCTGGGGCCTCCTGTGCAGGAACCTGTGGTGCCGGCAACCCCTCATCCTCAGCAGTTTCGGTGGGAATGGCTACGCGTGTGTCTCCGGGCGGTGCTCTCTGAATTGAGGGCGCTGAAGGCTTGGTCCGTGCTTGTGGCCACCCTTCTCTCCCCGTGGCCACCCTGGACCAGGCCCCTCGGGCAGTGCCGTGCCGGAGGGAGACACCGTCCCTCCTGGTGCCAGTAATGGGGACTCGGCGCTCCCTGCAGCCTGGACACCGAGGCCTCGTTCAGGTCCAGAGGGCGGACGTTTACCAGTAATTCCACACGGAGCTGCCTGGGGAGGAGAGGCGGGATGCCGGGAATTCTTTCTGAGCGCTGTGCCGCTCGCCAAGATGTGCAAACTCACTGTCTCTGGTTACGTCTGCGGAAATGGCTCTCGGCCAGGCCCGCCCTCCCGTCCTGTTCTCTGTGCCTCCTGCTGCGCTGGTGGCCGTGGGGGAGGGGTGTGGAGACACTGCTGGCGTAGACAGAGGCGCTCAGCCTGGGAACAGAGCCTGACTCGGACCGAGGGCACTGCCAGTTCCAGGCTGATTTTCCACTCCCCGTCTGTCATCCGTGTAACAGGCGTGGGCTCTGTGCCATGCTGCCCCTGGAGGGAGAGTGAGTGCGTGAAGTGGGGGCTGCGTGGGGTCGCACGGCTGGGGTGCTGGGCAGGGTCGGGTTGCTGGGTCACGTGACACTGTCTTCTGGCTTCTGCAGGTCCCCAGGCGAGGACGATCCTCATGCAGTCGAGTCTGCCACAGGCGCAGCTGGCCTCTATCTGGTAAGGGGCCGGCCTCGGTTTGTACACAGACCCCTGATTTCTTAGATGGGACGGCTTCACCCGTCTTTCCATTAGTGCCATTATGATGGGGGCGTGGAATATGCTTAATTTTTCAATCACTTGTAATGATTACCTGTCCCACATGTTCCCGTTTTGATTCTGAAAAATGCAAAAGCAGAGCAGTTACTGTAGCGAGCTCTCAGGAGCTCATAGTCCAGCCTGAATAGTCTCCCATCTGGCCAGCCTGATCCTCCTCTTTCCGGTACTTACAGCCAACTCTGCTCTGATGGCATTTTCACCTGCTGATATTTCAGCTTGTGTCTCCAAAGAGATGGATTTTTCTTAACATGACTGCAATACCAGCTATTCCACCTAAATTTAATAGTAATTCTTAACACATTGTAGATGGATCATGAGAATTCTCATTCGTTACAGTGTTTTACAAAGTATCATACTTTGAAAAGATATTTGCTTGTAAGAACATGAAATAAATAACTTCCGAAAGCAATGGGTATTTAATTTTAAAGCGTGCCTTTAACATTTATGTAAAACGTTTTTTGTACTCGTTCAGTAGAATCTTATCTGGCCAGTGGGCAAAGCCAGCAATGAAACTACTGGTCCGATGTGTGTTAAGGTAATCAGATAGCATTCCGCCCGAGGCAATGTCAGGTGTAAGAGGAGCTTCTTGACTTAAACAGTGTTTCCCAAACTTCTCTCATGATGAGACTCACCTGGTGGAGTTATTAAACTACAGATTCCTGAATCCCAACTAAGAAGTGCTGAACTAGAATTTTTGGGAACATATAGGTAAAAGTGTATACTTAACTTAGTGCTCTGTTAAGTATACACTTTTACCTATATGTTCCCAAAAATTCTAGTTCAGCACTTCTTAGTTGGGATTCAGGAATCTAGTTTAACAACTCCACCCGGTGATTCTCATCCTCAGATGAAAGGGCAGAAAACACCGCAGGTGTGGCCAGAGGCCGCAGAGATCCACGTGAGGCCAAGGTCAGGGCTGGTCTGCTGAGCCCAGGGCCTCGCACCTGCTTTGGGAATGAAGTTCTGTGGCGGTGGCCGCCCATGTGGTTACATATCGTTTGTGGCTGCTTTCCCGCCACAAAGACAGATTCCGTGTGACAGAGACGGTGTCCTCCAACGCTGAAATAGCCACTGCCTGCCCCGCTGGTTGCCGAGCAGAGTTCAAGCACACGTAGCATGTACGTGTGACACATTTGAAAGGGGCTTGCAGGGTAGAGGAGAGTGCAATTATATCATAGGTGACCTTTGTTGCATGCTAACCATCCTGTCAACTCCATGGATGTCTCATTTCATCTTTGCAGCAGCAGTATGACATAGGTGCCGTTTTGTAAACTGAGGCACAGGGAGACGACATTGGCTCGGAGGCCAAGTAAGCAAATAGAACATGTAGCTGGCGGGTGAGGAGGAGCAGTCACAGCGTGCTTCTTGTTGGGCAGGAACCTCTCTGACATTGACCAGGACGGGAAGCTCACGGCGGAGGAGTTCATCCTGGCCATGCACCTCATCGACGTGGCCATGTCCGGCCAGCCGCTGCCGCCCGCACTGCCCGCGGAGTACATCCCGCCCTCCTTCCGGTAAGGAGCACGGCGCCCGTGGGCCCGCGTGCCCAGGCCACATGGCTCTGGGGGCGGTGTGCCAGTCATCCTGTTCCTGGTGAGAGAGCCAGGGTCCGAGAGCTCAGGACCCCTGTCCGGCTCTGCTCACCTGGGCGCTCAGTCCAGGCTTCGGGACTGAAGGCAAAACCTTTTTCTTTTTTCTTTTTTTGCTGGGGGAGGGTCTTGTCTTCTTTAGTTTGTAAAAACCACAATCTCTGTGAAACTCGGTAAAGCGAGGTCTGCCCGCATTAGTGAACCATCCAAAGCCGGGGGCCGTTTCACCGATCGGTGTGCCTGAAGCTCGCCGGAAGGCTTGGCAGTGCGCAACGGCGTGCTTGTCCGGGGCAAGCAGGCGCGCGTCTGCCTGGACCGCTGCCGTGGAGACGGGACGCTGGCCATGGAGACGGTGTAGTCGGGACGGGAACGGGAGCGTTTCCAGCTGAAGCCCAGCCCAGGGGGGTGGGGAGGGCACCGAGGTCCACGGGAGAACCTGCAGTGACCAGCACCTCCGCCCGCACAGCACCCACCCCCCTCCCGATAGGCCGGGAAAAGGCAGGTCCGAGCCCTGCCAGCGCAGAGGGAGAGAAAGATCCGCGTTCTGTACTGATTCCTCAAACACAGGAGAGGCGACAGAAGATGGCATCCTAAGAGAGAGAGAAGGGACTGTCGCTGTCGGAGGGGCTGGGACAGGGCAGGCTGAGCGGGCCCGGGTGGCAGTGTCTGTGGCCGGGGGGGGGGGGGGGGGGGGGGAGGCACGCGCTTAGAGGTGGCTCTGGCTCTGGCTCTGAGAGCAGGCTGACGAGTCCAGCGGGACCTGTCAGTCACCCACGCTTTAAGGGTGTCAAAGGGCAGCGTTCCGTGTCTATGACGCCTGAGGGGACAGGCATTACACAGAGGGAGCGAGTCCGGGCGGAGTGGAGCTCCCGTGATGGCGATGGCGATGGCTCAAACCCCTCCCGTGTCCTGGCCTGTTCTGGCCGCCGGGGCTGCTCGCCAGTTCATTTCTTTGGGGTGCCCCAGTTCTGGCGGTGGTTCCGACCGTTTGAACATGCTTGGCACTGAGCCTGATGACACTCACGTACTCACTCCTGTAAACCGTGTAAATGGTGAGGACTAATCTTTGTTCTCACTACGCCATGGCATGCGGCCTGATGTTTTAAAAACCTTTCCACAGTTAGCTCACCCCACCTGGCAGCCTGAGGTCACTCTCCGTTTTCTTCTTTCCGCCTCGCAGGCGCGTCCGCTCTGGCAGCGGGGTGTCCGCCCTGAGCGCGGCCGCAGTGGACCAGCGGCTGCCAGAGGAGCCCGCGCTGGAGGACGAGCAGCAGCTGGAGAAGAAGCTTCCCGGTAACGCGCTCGCGGCTGTCCCTCAGAGGTTTTCTCTCCGGGCAGAGAGGCAGAAATAAGCCTGGGGCATTCTTGCTGTGTTCCTTTAACTGACCTCCGGAAGGAAACACGGCTAACATGCTTTTAGCTCTGCATGGATACATGGAAATGAGAACGTTGTGTACTCTGCAAACGCACCCTTGTTCCAGCTTTTACATAGACATCAGATTGTTTACTCAACAAACACCTTGTAAATGTTATTTATACGGCACTCAAGTTAGTAAGTCTTTAAGGAGTTGCTTAATACCACCAGAAATAGGAACTAAAATCACTGTTGCTTTCTCATGTTGTTGGGGAGAATTGGAAAAGCCTTAATAACAAGAAGCTATTTTAAATATAACATGTAAATGATCTTCATTTACAAGGATGACCCCATCACAACATTAAAATACTAGAGGCCCAGTTCACGGATTTCTTACACTTGGGGGTGGGTCTCTCAGCCTGGCCTGTGGCCTCTCACAGTCTGGGGCCCTTCGGGGATGTCCGACTGCCGTGGAGGCAGAGAGGCCCCCTCCATCACCGCTGCGCTCACCGGTCATGAGCCCGGCTTCTGCCTTGAGTGCTGCCCCCTGGTGGTCAGTGTGTGTTGTAGCGACTGGTCATTCACTGGTTAATTTGCATATTAACCTTTTCTTATGTAGGATTCTAAGGCAGCTGTGAGTTATTAGTGGTGATGATGGTGACACTAAGAGTAAGTGAAACGTGCCAGGGAGTGTCTGTGCTCAGTACCTGGTCAGTGGGCTTTGTTGCATTTAAAGTGCTCGGTGGGTGACTGACACGCTCAGGACAGCAGCTCCCCAGTTTCCTGGTAAATCCGTGCTCACTGATGAGCCGTTGGGGAATGTTCTTCGTGCACGTGTGCCGAGGACAGGGAAGAGGGAGCGTCAAGGGTGCGTGGCCCATGCCTCCTAAGGCGATGCGTAACTAAGTCAAATGTCCGTGTAGAGTCATCAGGGCAGAGATGGGGTCAGCTGCCGAGTCAAGGTCACGGAGAAGGAGACGCAGAGTGACCGCAGGAGAGGAGGTTTTCCGAGACGACGCAGACTTGCCGTGGAAGAGTCTGGAAATGGCGTTCTGAGCGCCATGATGGGCGCTCATCGGGAAGGGGAGTGTGTGATGGGCGCTCATCGGGAAGGGGAGTGTGTGATGGGCGCTCACCGGGAAGGGGAGTGTGTGATGGGCGCTCACCGGGAAGGGGAGTGTGTGATGGGCGCTCATCGGGAAGGGGAGTGTGCGGCGAGGAGCGGGGGAGGCACTGTCGCTGCTTCGGGGCCTGGTGTGCGCCGAGGCCGCAGGTGCGAGGGGCCTCGAGCTCCTCCCCCACGGGCGCGCTGAGTGTGACGATTCATGGCTTTTGCGTCTCGTTTCCAAGTGACGTTCGAAGACAAGAAGCGCGAGAACTTCGAGCGGGGCAGCCTGGAGCTGGAGAAGCGCAGGCAGGCGCTGCTGGAGCAGCAGCGGCAGGAGCAGGAGCGCCTGGCGCAGCTGGAGCGGCAGGAGCAGGAGCGCCGGGAGCGCGAGCGGCAGGAGCAGGAGCGCAAGCGGCAGCGGGAGCTGGACCGGCAGCTGGAGAAGCAGCGGGAGCTGGAGCGGCAGCGCGAGGAGGAGCGCCGGAAGGAGGTCGAGCGGCGCGAGGTGAGCGGCCCGGCGCGGGCCCTGCTCCCCCTGCGGCCCGCGGCTCCCGGGCCGCCGCCCCAAGGGGCTCCTGGCCCGCTGCGCATGCGCTCCCTGCACTCAGCACCACGCGCCTAGCATGCACTCTCCCTCCCCGTCCCTCCACCCCCGCTGTCCCTCCGTCCACGCGGGGCCGGCCATGTCACGTGACGGGTCGGACAGTGTGTGGCCTTAGTGTCTGCTCTGGCTTACATGCTGCTTCCAGGCTCATCACATTCTAGCATGAATCAGTGCTGTGCTGTCTTCCGTGGCGGAACTGTACCCCTGGACGTGAATGCACCACTTGTTACGTGTCCGTTCATCAGTTGATGGGTATTGGGTTAGTTCTGCTTTTTGGCTACCCTGAGTAATTTTGCTATGAGCATTCACTTACAAGGTTTTGATAAGACGGTTTTATAACAAGCCACTGATATCGGTTAAGGATTTCTCCAGACTTCCCTCTGCGCTCAGGTACAGTGTGGAGACACGAAGGTTTGTTTGGTGGAAAGGTGGGGCTTCAGTGCAGATTTTCTAACCGCTGTGCTTAAGTTTTATTTTGTAACGGAATTTCTTGAGTGTTTAATAATATGTCAGCCCTGAAGGAAAAGCCTTTCCTGCTAGCATTTCTTCAGCGACAGTGTGCAGTGTAAGGCCGAGCAGCTAACAGCCCGTCTGTGTGTGTGTTCCAGGCCGCAAAACGAGAACTGGAGAGGCAACGGCAGCTTGAATGGGAACGGAATCGAAGACAGGAGCTACTAAACCAAAGAAACAAAGAGCAGGAAGACATCGTGGTCCTGAAAGCCAAGAAGAAGACTTTGGAATTCGAATTAGAAGCTCTGGTGAGTGAAGTTGGATGATGTTTTGGGAATATATTAACATCAAGCCATTAAATGGTAATACTTTTTATTATTTCTATTTGTCTAAGAATGATAAAAAGCATCAACTTGAAGGGAAACTTCAAGATATCAGATGTCGACTGGCCACCCAACGGCAAGAGATTGAGAGCACCAACAAGTCCAGGGAGCTGCGGATCGCCGAGATCACCCACCTGCAGCAGCAGCTACAGGTGAGAGGGTCCCCGGGCGCTCAGCCAGCACCTCGCGCTTAGCATTCACTCTGAGCATGCACTCAGCACCAAACGCTTAGCATGCACTCTGAGCATGCACTCTGAGCATGCACTCAGCACCACGGGCTTAGCATGCACTCTGAGCATGCACTCAGCACCACGCGCTTAGCGTGCACTCTGAGCATGCACTCAGCACCACGCACTTAACATGCACTCTGAGCATGCACTCAGCACCACGCGCTTAGCGTGCACTCTGAGCATGCACTCAGCACCACGCGCTTAGCGTGCACTCTGAGCATGCACTCAGCACCACGCGCTTAGCGTGCACTCTGAGCATGCACTCAGCACCACGCGCTTAGCGTGCACTCTGAGCATGCACTCAGCACCACGCGCTTAGCGTGCACTCTGAGCATGCACTCAGCACCACGCGCTTAGCGTGCACTCTGAGCATGCACTCAGCACCACGCGCTTAGCGTGCACTCTGAGCATGCACTCAGCACCACGCGCTTAGCGTGCACTCTGAGCATGCACTCAGCACCACGCGCTTAGCATGCACTCGGCTCTGGGAAGTCGCCATGCAGCAGACGAGGTCCTGAATAAACAGGCTGCTGAGTAAACCCTCTCAGCCACGCTAGCTGAGTGTGTGCCGGGCAGGGCGCTCCGTAGGTATGAGGGTCCAGCCGTGAGCAGAGGGAGAGCCTCGCCTGCACGCAGCTTCCCTTCCGTGTGCAGGGCAGACAGACACTGACCAGACAGTCAGGTGTGCCTTCCGTTAGAGCGTGCACAGTGCGCTGCAGAGTGAGCGGGGAGGAGACCGCCTGGCTGAGGGGGTTGCAATCTTAAGGTGGTGGAAGGCCTCAGTGAGGGTTTCATTTGCCGGAGACTTAGGAGAGGCGCGGCTAAGCAGGGGGAGGGAGGTGGGGCAGAGCCGGCCCCGGTAGGGAAACAGTGGAGAGAAGGTCAGAGGCTGCAGCTGGTCTTGGAGGTTCGGTGACAGCGGGGAGACCGCGGTGGCTGGGCAGGTGGGGCTGGATCGTGGAGGACCTGCAGTCCATCACGGACTTAGGCTTTGTCGTGACCATGACGTGAGGACGTGCAGAGTGAGCGTTGGGGGTGTGTGAGAGATGCACGTACAGGGAGAGGCTGGGGACACAGTAAAGTTCAGCTTTGCCTATTGCCTGTGCAGAGTTGACCACCAAGTTGTCATAACATCACTGGTCTGGTTTCGTTGTTGAAGCAGGGGATGGGGAGCATCACATTCAAGTGGATGTTGTCCTGCATGTCATCATGTCTTAACTGTGATTTTATCTCAGCTGCTTTTCTCAGCCCGATGATCGTGACAGTTATCTGTTTGGTTGCGTGAATCAGTAGTTTGTTCTTTTTCATCATTGAGTAGCGTTTCCTTATTTATCCAGTTACCTGTTGATTGACATTTAGGCTTTTTCCAGTTCCAGACTTTTGTGGGGAAAAAAAAAAAATACAAACCTGCAGTGGTCATTTATTTCCAGGTCTTCATGTGGAAATACGTTTGATTTCTTTTAGTTAAATTTTAGGAGTGGAATTTCTGTGTTTATAATTGCGTGCTCAACCCTCTTTGACTGTTTTCAAAGTAGTCGTACATCTTGCATCTCACCAGCGGTGTGTGAGTGGTTCAGTTCCTCATCCTTGCCAGCACTTGGCATTCTTATCATTTTTTACGTTAACATTCCCACTTGGTGTGCACAGTGTCTGGCAGCGGCTCTAAATTGAATTTTCCTGAAAGCTAATGCCATTGGGTGTCCCTTCACATGTGTGCTGGCATGTGTCCTGTGTATGTTTTTTGTGAACAAATCTTTTGCCCATTTTCTTATTAGGTTGTTTTTATTAGTTTTTATTCTTTTAACAAGTCCTTTGTCAGATATGTGACTTGCAAATATTTTTTCCCAGTCTATGGTTTGCCTTTTTCTTTTTTTCTTCTTTTTTTTGTAATGATGCTTTTTAAAGTTTTAAATTTTGGTAAGTCTTATTAAGTTTTTCTTTTATGGTTATGGTTTTGTGTTCTATCTAAAAAAAATCCTCGGATAGCCTAAAATTGCAGATATTGTCTCTTCTGTTTTCTTCCGGTGGTTTCATAGTTGTATTTTCATGCTTAGGTTTAGGATTCATTTCAAGTCGATTTTTATGTAAATAGAAGATTAGGGTAAGGTTCATTTTCCTCCATACCAGTACTTAGTTGTTCTAACAACATTTATTAAAAATACTATCATTTTCCCCACTGAATTACTATGGCAGCTTGTTGAAAATCAATTGATCGTATTTGTCAAGGTCTTTTCTAGACTTTATTCTGCTCCATTGGTCTGTATCTGTTCTTTCACCGGGACCTTCTCTGTTGATAATTGTAGCTTTATGATAATTTTTTAAACCAATTACTCTGAGATCTTCAATATTCTTTTTTTTTTTTTTTTTACATGGTTTTGGCTACTTTAGATCCTTTACAATGCCACATAAGTTTTATTTTTATTTTATTTATTTTTAAAAAATATATATATTTTATTGATTTTTTTACAGAGAGGAGGAAAGAGGGATAGAGAGCTAGAAACGTCGATGAGAGAGAAACATCGACCAGCTGCCTCTTGCACACCCCCTACCGGGGATGTGCCCGCACCAATGTACATGCCCTTGACTGGAATCGAACCTGGGACCTTTCAGTCCGCAGACCAATGCTCTATCCACTGAGCCAAACCGGTTTCCACACAATGCCACATAAGTTTTAGAATCAGCTTGTTAATTTTTACAAAGACACTTAGAATTTTGATTGGTGTTTCATTGATTTTATAAATCAATTTGGGAAGAATCGACATCTTGACAATATTGAGTCTTATGGTATACTAGTATGTCTCAATTTTATTTCAGTTGTTTTAAATTTCTCTAAACAGTGTTTTGTAGTTTTTAGTGTATAAGTCTTGTACATATTTTGTAAAGTTTACCCCTAAGTATGTCATGGTTTTGGATGTTATTTCAATTTCCTATTATTTGCTGCCAATATATAGAAATACAATTTATTACTACATACGGACCTTATGTCTATGATATTGCTTAACATACATATTCCTTAGAGTTTCTGTGTACATAGTACATTGTTTGCAAATGAAGACAGCTATTTCTTATTTCCAGTCTAACTTCCATGTTTGTGTTTTTATTTATTTATTTATTTGTCCGAACTGCATTGCTCACAGCCTCCGGTGCTGTTTTGGGTAGAAATGGTGAGAGTCCTGGTTGTGACCTGAGAGGAAAGGCTTCAGTCTCACCGTTAAGGATGGTGCTGCCTGCAGGTTTGCTGGTAGCTGCCCTTTATCAGGTCAAGGGCCTTCTCCCCTGTCCCCTTTCTGCTGAGAGTTACGGTCAGAACACGTGTCTGACTGGGTAACTTTTTTCCTGTTTTGGTTGAGATGTTTACATGTTTTCCCCCTTGTTTTTTTTTTTTAATACAGTGGGGCAAAAGTAGGTTTACAGTTGTTTACTAGTACATGGAAAATAATGTAATAACTATTAAATAACAATACATGAATAAACTTTCTATTACTCAACTGTAGACCTACTTTTGCCCCACCTGTATAATGACTTACTTTGGTTGAAATTTGAATGTTAGACTACTTTCTATTTCTGGCATAAACCAACACTTGGTCATGATATATTGCCGTTTAAAAAATATTTTACGAGATTCATAAAAAATATTTTACGTAAATATTTTACGTTTGCTATTATTAAAGATTTTTTCATTTAAATTCATGAGAAATCTTAGTTGATAGTCTTCTTGTAATGTCCTTGTCTAGTTTTGGTGTCAGGGTAATAAATATAAAAACAAGCTGGAGAGTATCCTTTTGTTCCTAAGTTTACCCCTAATTTAAAAATTTTCTAAAAACATTTGTGTTGAAATGGTATTTTTTCTTTGAGTATTTGGTGGCATTCACCAGTAAAGCCTTCAGTGCTAAGAGTTTTCTGTGTGGCAGGACTTTTAATTGCAAAAAAATTTTTTTTTAAATTATTATTTATTTATTAATTTAAAAAAAATATTTCTTGATTTCAGAGAGGACAGGAGAGGGAGAGAGAGACAGAAACATCAATGATGAGAGAGAATCATTGATTGGCTGCCTCCCTGCAGTCACCACCAGGGATCGAACCCGCAACCCGGGCATGTACCCTTGGCTGGAATCAAACCCAGGACCCTTCAGTCCGCAGGTCAACACTATCTACTGTCATTTTCTATACGTGGGTTTCTCTTCAGTCCTGTCAGTGGTTCAGGCTCTTGGAAATCCCAATCAGTTGGAGCCATAATGTAATAGTATTAGATGTTCACTGCCACAAATTGCTTGAAAACATTATCCCAGCTCTCTCTGTCTTTCATTAACTCTTTATGAGCAGTTTCATAAAACATTCCCTTGGAAAACTTAGGAGTGAAGGCCACATGTTTATTCATTATCGCACCAAACACATTTAGCATGTTCACTTATCTACACTAATAAAAGAGAAACATGCAAATTGACCATATCTCTGCTACGCCCACTGGCCATGCCCACCAGCCAATCTGGAGCGAGTATGCAAATTATCCCAACCAAGATGGCTGCAGCCACGGAGTGAGCAGGAGGCTTGGGTTTCCCCTGGCAATGGAGGAAGCCAAGCTTCCTAGCTGGTCCTGGCCTCCACTCAAGACTACAAAGTTTCAATTATAGAAGATAAATAAATCCCAGATACCAGGGCCTCCGCTTGGGTTGCCAGGGGGCTTGGCTGGCCTGCAAACCACCACAGGCCCCTTGCTCAGGCCGCCTCACGCTCCAAGGAACCCCACCCTGATCTGGGACACCCTTCAGGGCAAACCAGCTGGCCCCACCCATGCAGGTTTCTATCCTATCTAATAAAAGAGTAATATGCAAATTAACCATCACTCCAACACACAAGATGGCTGCCACAAGATGGCCAGCAGGGGAGAGCAGTTGGGAAGGACCAGGCCTGCAAGGGAGGGCAGTTGGGGATGATCAAGCCTACAGGGGAGGGCAGTTAGGGGTGACCAGGCCTGCAGGGGAGGCCAGTTAGCAGCAATCAGGCTTGCAGGGAGCAGTTGGCAGGGGAGTGGTTAGGGGATGATCAGACTGGCAGGCAGAAGTGGTTTAGGGGCAATCAGGAAGGAAGGCAGGCAAGCAGTTGGGAACCAGCAGTCCTGGATTGTGAGAGGGTGCAGGCTGGACTGAGGGACATACCCCCCCCCCCCCCCCCGCACAAATTTCATGCACCGGGCCTCTAGTCCTATGTAATAAAAGGCTAATATGCAAATTTTCTCCTCAATTGGGAGTTTGACCAGGGGGCAGGGCTGACTGGCCAACTGCCTGCAGCCCCTCCCCGGCCAGCCTGGCCCCAATGGGGGCAGACAACTGGATATCCCCCCCCCCGCCCCCAACACACACACACAACTTAGTGCACCGGGCCTCTGGTTGATAATAAAATAAAATCTGGGGCGATCTGTGTATGTTCTGTTTTGTCGGATCTGGGTGTGTGTGTGGGTTGTTCACATGAGAAGGTCATCCCAGGTCCTCCCTGTGCAGCTGCCAGACCCCGCTGCTGCTCACACACGTGGCACACAGCGCCTGCTGACACGCAAGCCGTGTGCACGGAGGGGGTTGTCCCGGAAGACTGGCTCTGAGCCTGGTGAAAAGCATCTTCAGAGACACTTCTATGTTTTCAAACCAAAAGCCAGTATAGAGATATTTTTTTAATGTCGGTAAAATAGAAGTTAATCATTCCTTACTATACACTGGGAAGGCTGTCATGTTATGAAAGGCACAGAAACTGTTAGGATAACTGTTAGGATAATGAGCTTCAGCAGGGCCAGTGCTTGGCAAGTCATCCATGAAACAGCCTTGTCCCGTGTGATTTGGGTTTTTTCTCAAGTCGCTTAAAAAATGCTGTTTTAAGAATTGTGGTGCGGCTTGAAATGGCAGCTCCTTTCCGAGTGTGGAGTGCCCTGTGCAGCCCCGTGCCAGGCTGGAAATCTCTGGTTTGTGTCCAGCTTCCCATTAAACCCCGTGGTCGGCCTCAGTGGGGCCATCACAGAGCCACGTCCACGGCAGCCAGTTCCCGTTAAACCTGCACCTGTGGCCCCGTGCCCCCCTGGCCCAGCGCCGTGGAGAAGCTGGTGCTTTAATGTCGCGCCAGTACATCTAAACAGGCAGAAAGTCAGTAACAGTCAGAAACATCGAGGGAGCTGTGACCGTCTCAGCCCGACCTCGGTGCAGAGCATCGGCAACGGAGCTCCTTGGAAGGAAGCAGGACGCGCCCTCCTGGCGACGCAGCGCGTTCACCCGAGGCCTGGGCTGCGGTGGGCGTCTGGGGCACAGAGAACGGACTGAGGCCTGTGGAGGGTCAGGGGGCCCGGCCTCCCCTCACTCACCCCTTCCCCCCGCCCCCCAGGAGGCCCAGCAGATGCTCGGCAGGCTGATCCCGGAGAAGCAGCTCCTCAGCGACCAGCTGAAGCAGGTGCAGCAGAACAGCCTGCACAGTAGGTGTCACTGCCCTTTGCTTTTACTGACAAGAATCTCTCCCTTGAAAGAAAATTAAAACCTGGCTTTCTTACCTTGCACTGTTTTTCTGAAACAGGAGACTCACTCCTCACCCTCAAAAGGGCCTTAGCAGCAAAGGAACTGGCTCGCCAGCAGCTCCGAGAGCAGCTGGATGAAGTCGAGAAAGAAACAAGATCCAAGCTGCAGGAGATCGACATTTTCAACAACCAGCTGAAGGTAACGTCCCTGCCGGCCCGCGCCCTGCCCTCTCGCGCCCCGCCAGGCTGGGCGGTGCCCGGTACCCAGTCCCAGGCGGGAGGTCCGTCAGGCTGGCTGGACATCACACAGTGTGCAGGCACGTCTCCTCTCACACGTAGAGTTGATTCTGGCATCTTTGGGTCATGGCGAGCGAGTGGCCCCAGCATGCCGCCTGTCTGAGCTGAGTCCGTTGTCTGTGGCTGACCCCGTCAGGGTGATGCCAAAGCCAGGCCTCACGCTACGCCTTCCTTGGGTTCTTTGAAGACCCCTGGAGAGGGGCCCTTGTCTCTTTTAAACAAGAATTTTTCTGCCATTTGTATCTTCAGGATTGTCCTTGAATGCAGGTCTTCATTTTGTTGCCTTTTATTTTAAGTGGATTGTTTAATAGAGAGGTTGCTCTGTCTCTGTCCGGAGACGGTGTGTGAGTTTGTCCCAGTCGCACCAAGTTCAGGCAGTGCCAGCGCTCGGAGGGAGTGGGAAGGCCGTCCCACCTCGCTCTGATGGTGCCTTCAGCTTCACGCCCCCCAGAGCGTGGCTGACTGTCACCCAGAGCGCACGCGGTCATTCCCATCAGCAGCGGCCACAGGCTGCAGGCTGAGTGGAGAGTGGAGGTTTCAGTAATTACATTCTGATAGGAAATGGGATTTTACACGTTTTTCAGGTACTAGTTCCTTTTTAACTTAAAATCCTTTACACGGACTTCGGCTAATTTAGCTTTTGTAACTAAGAAAAAGTAAAACTCTCATTCTTTTTTATGAAAAACAGAAAAATTAGGGAGCGTATTTGAGATTTTTAATTGATCTTTGAATTGAGATTCCAGGCTAAATTCTCTAGACATCTGAGTTGAGATAGTTGTGCTTCCCTCCCCATCCCCCCAATGACAAGTAGTGAATTTTTTTCAATTGTACAATTCCAGGAAAGTGCTCTTAAGGGAAATTTTTTTTTGAGCCAACTTAGTGATTTTTTTCCCACTTGGCTCCTTACTTATACAGAATGTGTGTGTGTGTGTGTGCGCGCGCGCCTGTGTGCTAAGCTTTCTTTGTCAAAGTTAGTAATGATGAGTTAATTAAAATTAATTGCTGTATCTGAGTGAGTCTTTCCTCTTGACACACTGTATGCAAGATGGCAGACACTCCTGGTTGCTCGTGGGGAGGCACAGTCCACCCTCCTTACAGCTGGCCGTGTGGGCCAGTGCGTCCACCACAGGTGCCACCGCTGGGCAGGGACGTCCGGTGACTGTCCCTGTGCGCATTCTGTCACCGAGAACCTGTGTGTCTTTATTTAGATTATGGCGTTGAGCTCATGAATTTCAAGTAATTAAGGCACTCTTAGTCTGTCTCTTTTCCGAGGCAGCCAGAAGCAGAGTTATCCTCCAAAAACGTTAGACGGAATGAGCAGGGAATGTGTGAGCTGCTCTCTGGTGGCCCCTCACTGCGGAGACTTTCCTCCCCTCTGCGCAGCGTCTGTGCGGAGCGCCCCTGACCAGGAGTCCGTCGTGTTGTGCAGGGGGCGCTTCTTCCCTCTCAGTGACCCCAGGTCCCGCGGGGCCTCCACTGTGAGAGCCCCAGAGCAGCGAGCGGAGCGGCCGTGTTCAGGCCAAGCGGCCCTGTGCCGCGCAGCCGGCTCTGTGAACTGGGCCGCGGGCCAGGCTCTGAGGCAGAAGCTGGCTGCGCCGGCATTTATAATAGTTCGTCAGACGGTGGCTCTGGAAGCACTCTGGCTGCACGCCAGAGCTGTCCGCAGTGTTTTATGGCGATATCTCCATTCTCCGGGGAAGGCGTGCTCTTCCTCCGTGGGCGAAGGGGTAGTTAAAGAAGCTGGCTTTCACTCATCTACTACAAGGTGGATCTTTATTTGCCCGTCATTTTCCTATTGAGGCTCATGATCTGTTTGATCAGCGCACGCGGAAAGCCAGAGTTCCCTGAAGGAGAAGGCCCAGGCCCCCATTTGGCGAGCGGTCAGTGTGCTGGCCAGCCAGAGCTTGTGCGTGGGCCCTAGTGACGAAACTGCGGTGTCCCAGAATTCTGTGCGCACTGCTGGTGATGAAGATCTCATTTCCATTTCCATCCACTTCACACTTTATGGGAGTTTTATCTTGCCCTGTGTTTTCTGTGGCATGTAGCTAAAACTTCTTTAGTGAACATTTCAGAATTTCTTACTTCCGAAGTATCACATTTTTATTGGGAGGTAGGTTAAATTATTACACACTGTATCTAGTGTAAAACATATCAGAGCCTGGAATAGAACTCATAGGAGAAAAATCAGCAAAGTTGAACTTGATATTCTATTGTTGGAGAAATATGTAGCGGAGACATAGTCATTTGTGGGTTTTGATTCTTAGCAATTTCTTACTGGTTCAGTTTCTATCTTGGTTTTAATAGAGAAGTAATGACATGATTGAGGGACATTTGCAGGTCCCTTCAATGAGGCTGCCCAGCAGCAGCTGACAGAATTGCGTGACGCTTTCCCGAGCTGTCTCCCATGGTTCTGTCCTTTCCCGCGGAAAGCGCTAAGTCAGCCTTCCAGCGCTTCCCGCGAGGTGAGAGGGCGCTCCGTGCCTGTCACTGTGCTCGCGGCTTTAAATGCCGGGCAGAAGGAGCGACAGGGCGGCCCTCCGCTCCGCTCCGCTCTGCTCGGTGCCCGGTCCTCAGACACAGGCACGGACACCAGCCCTTGTGTCATATCCCTTCGTTCCGAAGATCGCCTCTGCCAAGTTCAGCTTTTTAAACAAGATTCTTAGCAGCTTAAGGACCCCGTTTCCTGCGTGTCTTGGTTCACGCCCTCGTGCCCTCCAAGTCCAAGAAAGGGCGGACGAGCCGGAGCGCCTGCGTGCGCGGCGCCCGGTGCCTGACAGCCGGTCGTGGTCCCGGCGGGGCGCAGCGGCGGCTTCGGGTCTGGATCCTGGTGCCAGCGCTCTGCTCCTTGCTGTGACGTCTGTGGGCTCACGGCCCGTTTCCTCAAGGAGCTCCTGCGGCCAATTCCAAAGACGGGCCCAGCGAATGCCGGAGCAGCGGGGAGAAGCAAACCCCGACAGGAGGCAGCAGCTCTTCAGCCGGCCACTGAGCGACGGCAGGACGCGCCCGAGGGTCACCCCATCCCGGCGGAACCCTGAATCAGGCGCGGCAGCGCTTCGGGGTGCGGGCTGGCCTCACGGGGCTGCGTGTGGACAGCAGTGCGTTCTGCACTCCCTCGTGGCACAGAGGCCTGCTGGGCCCTCAGGGACACCAGAGCACCGCAGCACGGGGACCTGTTTCCTCCTGAGGGCTGGAGGTCTCATCACACCGCCCGTCCCGAGGCGGCCGCGGGCAGGGGAGGCCGGGCCGAGGCGGGGCACCACGCTCTGCCCTGAGGGGACCGCTCCGGGAGCTGAGCCCTGAGCTCGCTGCTTCCCGCTTCTCACTAGAAAGAGCCGCTTAATACAGCACTAGCGGGCGTGACTTCAATCCCGTGGCCTCACGGGGCACCTGCACCAGCGCCAGGAGCCAGGGCCGTGGAGAGCAGACGTGCAGAGCGGCCTCGGGGAATGAGAAGTGCGTGCGCCTGGCTCCCCGTGCTCCGTAGCCTGAGCCCCCTCAGCGGCCGGTGCTCCCCAGGACGTGGGGCCGGTGTTTTGCCTGTCGCTCTGCCCGAGTCCACGTCTCCTGCGTAACTTCTCTCTGTCCACACGCACCCAGGCTGCTGGGCATCAGGCAAGCGTCACTCCTTCCTGCCCTCTTGCTGCCTCTGTGTCGGATCTCGGCTCAGAGGCACTTTGCTGACCGCTCACGCGTTTTGGTTTGTTCTTGCACTGAGAATCGAACCCTGAACAGCAGACACTGAGAGAAGGAAGGTGTGTCTGAAGTGAAACTTCGTCTACGATGCAACAGGCCCGGCTGAGACGAGCTGGTCCGCCTAGGCCGCTGGGAACCGGGCGGCAGTGCCGCGCCTGCTCGTGGCGTCCATTTCCATAAACGTCCTTCGGCTCCAGTTTGCCATCATTGGAGCTGGAATTTAAATGGCATCAAAGGGACTCTCCCGCAGCTCTCACCTGCCTTTTCCAGGGCGCCAGTGTCACTCCTGCACGTCCTAGTATGCAGACATGCGCATTACTGTGAGCTGAGGGTGCAGATCACACAGCACAGGCATCGGCCCACTTTGTCTCCGTCTCAGAAATAGCAAACTCAGATATCGATCCCGTCCTCATTGACGTCATTAGAGAATCCTGCTTATGCCTGAATCCAAATTCCTATGGGAAGGCATCCTGCTGAGTTCCTAATCACATGAGAGTTTGCATGGCTGACGGTGAGGAGGAGAACGGAAATGGCTTCTTTCCCCGGGTGTGTGTGTGTGTGTGTGTGTGTGTGTGTGTGTGTGCGCGCTGTTCTTAGTGCCGTGAAGTCAGGCGGCATGTGCACGGCTCCGTGCGGCAGCCTCTGAGCCTGGTGGAGAGCGCGGTGTGCATGGGGCGTGTGCACGGCTCCCTGCGGCGGCCTCGGGCGGCTCCTGGAGCGCCATCCTGCCAGGCGGAGAGGGTGGCAGCTTTCCCAGCCTCGCTCTCCACCCTGAAACATCCCCCTAAATCTGAGGCCTCTCTGCTGAGAAGCGTCGCTCACAGACGGTAGAGTGCTGTCGCCTCACGAGTTACCTGTTTCTTGGTTTTTATAGGAATTAAGAGAAACACATAATAAGCAGCAACTCCAGAAGCAGAAGTCCATAGAGGCCGAGCTGCTGAAGCAGAAAGAGCAGGAGCGAAGGGTCATCGAGTTCGAGAAGCAGAAGGAGGAGGCCCAGAGGTGGGTCTGTCCGGGGTCTTTCCGGAAGGCACCGTGTGTCTCTGTGCCTGCTTCTCCGGGGTCTCCTGCACAGAAGGAACCTTCCGTGTGCGTATGTGTCTGTATGTGTGCGCATGTAAATCTTTCAGTAAGCGGCCCACGTGTCGGCCTGTTCCCAGAGCTCCTGGTTCCGGTGCGGTCAGCGGGCGGGGCCCGGGCGCTCCTCTCTGTGCCAGTGACCGCACCCTTCCAGGCGCAGCCTCCCCCAGGCTGACCGCCTCTTCCTCCTCTTCCTCCTCTTCTGCAGCCTCCACTTAAGCTCAGACTGGGAGGCGGGCACGGCCGTGTGTCTGTCTGCGTGTCCGTGGCCCGCACGTGACTTTCCGCAGTGACTTGTAGACGTTTATCTTTACCTGTTGCTGTGTCTGATTTTGTTATTGGATATTTGCTTTTTACGTTTCCACTAATTTTAGACACAAATGACCAAATATCCCAACGAGTCAGTGTAAATCGTAAAGATGGATTATTGAATTTAGACAAAAACACGAAGAGATGGCCGCTGACTTCGCGGCCGACTCGGTCCCCGCGGTTTCTCTCTTGCGAGGTGGGGGTGGGGGTGTGAGTGGTTGTTCCTGGAAGTAGCGCCGTGCTGCGGCTCTGGTGTGCGGCAGGTGTGAACCACTAGAGCTGAGATTGTTCTAACCAGTTGCTCAGCCACCTCAGGAATCAGAGCGTCTTTCTGTGACTCTCTCTCAGCTGCGGTTTCATCTCAGCCCCCCCCCCCAAGAGAGCGCTCCATCCGGAGGCCGGGCGTTAGCGTCTCGTTGGCCGGATGTGGCCCCGTGCTGAGCGGGAGCCCTTCCTCCCAGTAACCAAGGTCTCGTCGGCAGGCGGGCTCAGGAGCACCTGCCGCAGGAGGAGGAGCGGCCGCGGCGGCCGCGGGAGGAGCAGCGCCTCCGGAGGGAGGATGGCGCCAGGAGGAAGGACGGCGAGGACAGAGGCAAGCTGGAGGCGCAGGACAGGCCGGGCCGGCTCCAACCGCAGCACCAGGAGCCCGCCACGCCGGCCGGCCACGCGCCCTGGCCCACCGCAGGTAGGAAGCCGGGTCATCTCCCCATTTTCCCGAAGATCTCCCGTCCCAGGCCTGTCCTGGCTGTGTGAAGGGGCCAGGCCAGGCTCCCTGTTGGGACAGAGCAGCCGCTCGTTGGGCGTTAGGCTCTGGTGACTGCCACCCTGCCAGCCTGTGCTGCGTCCCTGGCACAGACGTCCCCAGACAGCAGCGCGTGCGTTTCACTGAGACGCGGGTTCCCGGGAGAGGCCGTCACCTCGCCTGCCCTCCCGCTGGGTTTCTGAGCTGCCCCGGGGCAGGAAGTGGTCCGCCTGGCTGCCTGTGTGCCAGCCACTGTCTTCAGGGCCGCCGCAGACAGTGCCCCCTTCCTAAGAGCGAGGCTGCTTCTGCCCTTTGGTCATAGCTGCCCGCTGAGTAATGATGCATGGGGAACCTAGAAAGAGCTAGAAGGCATCCCTTACACAGATGCAAGCTGGGTGGGTTTTTAACGTTCTGTGCGACGGCAAGCTACCGGGCTGCTTGGCAGAGAGCACGCTGAGGGAGCGATGCCTTCGTCGGTAAATGACACGGAGGCGTCGGTCTGACCATCTGCCTGCTTCCCGCGGCGCCCGGAGGAGACAGAATGGTCTGGAGGCTGGCTTCCCGGCGGCGGGAGCTCGCCCGGAGGAGCCGGCAGCCCCGGGAGCGCCTGTGCGGGCGGAAGGTGTTCTCCTGTGAAAATCGCTCCCCGTGACTCGGTCACGGCAGTAGCTTACGTCTCTGGTGCTGCTTCCTGCTCAGGACTTGCTCCTTCGGTCAGTGGGCGTCCCGCGGCGCAGCCCCTTCAGGCCCCGGGGCAGCTGCCGCCCCCGTCCTCAGGGAAGCAGACGTGGCAGCGAACGCGGGCAGACAGAGGGCATGCTAGTCCTGCCGCCGGGTCCACACTGTCCTCTGCTCCCGTGCATTTTTGAAACTTTTATTCCGTTTCAAACCTGAGTCTTTTCACCTGGGGTCCGTGCCCAGGCGCATGCGCTCCCTCACCAGGCGGCCGCGGCCGCGGTCCCGGGGGGCGGGGCTGTGGGCGGCACGCAGGCCCGGCAGCAGCCGGCACGTGTGTGTTTGGGGCGCTTTCTCGTTGGCGAGTCCCGACCAGGGTCCCATTGGATCTGCCGGGTGCCCGGGGCCTCGGCGCCCAGGCCTGGGGGCTGGAGCCTCAGCCTCTCTGCACTCGGCACTGCGGTGACCTCTGCTTAGAGGGTCCGCTCTGGCGGTCTGGGGTGCGGGCATCAGGTTCGGCTGCCGGCAGGGGTGCTCAGGGCCCCGGTGGAAGGAGGTTCGGTGCTGAGGAGGCGGTAGAGGGGACAGCAGCTATTGGCTTGTCGTGCATTCGTGTCCCCGGTAAAGTTTTATTTCCCGTCTCCCTGCCCCCTCCGTGCACAGAAAAAGGCCCGATCACCATCGGCGCCCAGGAGAACGAGAAGGTGGTGTACTACCGCGCGCTCTATCCCTTCGAGTCCAGGAGCCACGATGAGATCAGCATCCAGCCGGGCGACATCGTCATGGTAAGGGCGGCCCGGACAGTGCCCGCTGTCCTGGGCGGCACCGCCTTCCTGGGAACTTGACTGACTGCTCTGAGCTCGTCAGGGCGTGAGAGCCAGTAACCCAGCCCTGGTTTCCGAGCGGAAGGCTGTCATTAGAACGGGAGAGGACCCTAACCTGTGCCCATGGCCTGGAGCCAGAGCCGGTGCTGGTAGCACAGCCAGCGTGTCCCTGACGGGCCCGGTCCGGCAGCCTCAGTGGCGGTGACCACCCAGCGCTGCGGTGATGGCCAGGGAGCAGCTTTACGGTGAAAGGTTCCGGCCGCATTTCCGTAGCTGCCCGTTAAATACCTTCTTGTGATTGTGACGAAAACACAGGGGCCGGTTTAAGAAAGCAGAACGCCATGTGGCGACCTCAGTTATTTCCTAAAAGAAAGCGCTGCGCCTCCTGGCTCTCAGCTTCAGGCTCAGCGTCTGGAAGTGGCCCCTTTAAAGGAGCGAGGGGTGGAGGAGGTTCCTCCTGCAGGCCGGGCTCCGAGGGAGGAGGGTGTGCAGCTGAGCTCTGCAGCACGTGTGGTCATGAAGGGGCCAGGATGGGAAGAACAGGGCAATCGGTCCCGGCCCCAGTCATTTCCAGCCTCTTCTCGGAGTGCGGCTGGGAGGGCGGAAGCTCAGGGGCGAGTGTATCTCCAGACGCTCCCGCCCCTCGGGCAGGGCGCCCCCCTCGAACAGAGAGAGCTGGCTCTGAGGAGCGGGCACCCTCCGGACGTGGTGCTGGTGCCAGGCCGGGCCCAGCCTCGCCACCACCCGCTGCTGTGCTCACGGCCTCGCCTTTGAACTGCCGCCCCTTGTAGAAGTGAGGGAAGGCATCAGACAGGCCCTCGGCACACCGGAAACACCAGCTCCATGTTTTCATAACTGCATTTTGTTGCAACACAAGTTGCAGAAAAGTGAGATAAGGGAGTGTAACATAGAGGCGCTAACAGATGGTCTGTATTTAACGAGAAGATACTGCTCTTTCTTTGCGATGTGAGTTTTTTACAATGACGGTGGGTCCTTTTCCTTGAGTCCGCTAGTGACCCACCGGCTTGGTAGATGAATGGTTAGATGCCCTGTGAGAATAAGCCTCATTAAACATCTGTTCTGCTTGCTTTCAACCTTTGCTTTCTGGTGGAGGTTAAAGGGGAATGGGTAAGTGCTCTGTGGCGTCAGGAAGTCTGCCCCGTAGGTGGTGTTCTGTGCCTCTAAGTCACTGCGTCCTGTGTGGGTGCCTCTCCGTGGGTGTTGTCGCGGTGGGGCGGTCTGTTTGGAGTGTGTGGTGTGTTTTGCTGACAGAAGCCAGGAAGGAGAAGGCGTGCAGACGGACAGGCTCTCCCGCAGGCTCTGTATTTGGCAAGGTGTTAGGTCAAGTCTGCCTTGGCCACGGATAAACACAGGCTCCAACACAAAAAGATACAATTCTAAAAATAATTTTTTTAAAAAGTGATTATTGGAATAACTTATGGCTAAGAAATGTACCTGTAGCTTAAAACCAGAAGCCATAAATGACAAAAGCGGACAGATTTGACAATATAAAAAATTAAAATGTGTACAGCATAAAGTACACGAGAGACAAAAGGTCAATATCTGTATTGTGTAAAATATTCCAAAAGATTAATATGAAAGAAACACAATCGGAAAAGCTGGTGGAGGATATGAAGAGACAGGCAGGTGACAAAAAGTAAATGAGTTAAAAAAACAAAAGATCATCCATCTCATTGGAGATCCGGAAAATACAGTTAAAAAATGAGATAGTGTTTTCCATCTTTCAACTGAGCAAGCGTGAAAGCTCGATTCGGCCCCGCTCTGCCAGTGTGGCAAGTGGTGGCTTAGACTTGGCTCTGTCCTTTGGCAAAACCTCTTCACACTTCAGATCCTCTGAGAGTCGGGTGTTCTCCCTCCTCCGGCGGTGTTGGCAGAGCATGTGCACATGGCTGTCCGCAGTGTGTGGGTCCAGGTAGGAGGCCCGCAGGGCTGGCTGTGGGAGGGGTTCTGTGATTCCCAGGGGAACTAACCGTCAGTTGATGGAGATGTGGGACAACTGGAAATCCACATCAGCAAACAGGCTTTCCAGTCAGACCCGGAAGCAGCATGGAGATGCCCGGGTTCTGGTTAAGGAAAAGCTGTGTGTGTGAATGCGTACGTGCAGTTAACAGCCTTGACACACAGACTCAAACTGTTAACAGCAATTGCCACCGGGCCGTGAAGAGGCTTTTGTGTTTAATTTTATCTCCTTCTGTGTTATTTTCATGTTTATACGTGTGTGGACACTGTAATTCATAGCAAACCCTGAAAGTCAGTCCGGCTTTGGTGGGTACCAGCATGTCCGCCAGGACTGGGATGGAGGGACTGGAGCAGGGTTCGCTCCGCCTAGACACTGGGGCCTGCTGAGGGCCGGGGCAGTGCCCCATTTTCCGTTACGCATTGTAACATGACTCATGACATCCACAGGCTTACCTTTGTAAGGTTAACAATGTGGGAGAAGGCAGGAGGGATTGACATGGAACAGTAACGGGTTTATTTCATGGCAGGTAAGAATGTGGGCATGACAGATACGCAGTTAGAACCTGACTGCCAACCCCTCTCTGAAATAATCAGCAGCTCCCTTATTCTGTGGCGGCAGCCATCGGTCTCACATGGCGTCACCGTCTTGGGAACCCAGCCGATCATGGCTCCTTTGCCAGGCAGGCAGGCAGGACGTTAGAAAGTGCTTTGCTTTTGGAAAAACTTGGCCACCAGCTTAGTTTTTCTCACAAATTTTTTTTTGTGGTTCACAGAGTTAAAGTGCTGTCTTGTGCATAGTCCTGCTCTAAGTGTCGGTAATACAGAGAAATTGGAGGTGGCACTGCCCCTCACGTTAAGATCTCAGAGCAAACGGGGAGACCGTAGGGAGCTGGCGCGGGGGGCAGGCGCGGCGAGGGCTCACTGAGCCGCCAGGAGCAGCGGAGGAGGGTTCCTGCGAGCCCAGGACATTGCTCAGCCTTGGAATGCAGCTTCCTGGCTGAGCTTGAGCTTGACCTTGACAGCCAGGGCTCAGACCTGCGGGAATCTGGCCTGCCTCTTGTCCATGCCCCGGAACCGGGGCGGATGAGTCCGTTGGCCTCTCACGCGGTGGGATGGCGTCAGGACGAGAAGACTTCACTCAACTGCTGTCGCTGAGGCTTGTCTTCGCCCGGCCGAGCCTCTGAGCAGCAGGCCCGGTGCAAGGCCGGCACCTCAGACCGTCCGGGCACTGGGAGGGCACCGCCCACGGCCTCCCGGCCGCCCACACGCCTCCCGGCCGCCCACACGCCTCCCGGCCGCCCACACGCCTCCGGGGCCGCCCACACGCCTCCGGGGCCGCCCACGGCCTCCCGGGCCACCCACGGCCTCCCGGCCGCCCACACGCCTCCCGGCCGCCCACACGCCTCCCGCCCACACGCCTCCCGGGCCGCCCGCACGCCTCCCGGCCGCCCGCACGCCTCCCGGCCGCCCGCACGCCTCCCGGCCGCCCGCACGCCTCCCGGCCGCCCGCACGCCTCCCGGCCGCCCACACGCCTCCCGGCCGCCCACACGCCTCCGGGGCCGCCCACACGCCTCCCGGCCCGCCCGCACGCCTCCCGGGCCGCCCGCACGCCTCCCGGGCCGCCCACACGCCTCCGGGGCAGCCCACACGCCTCCCGGCCGCCCACACGCCTCCCGCCCACACGCCTCCGGGGCCGCCCGCACGCCTCCCGGGCCGCCCGCACGCCTCCCGGGCCGCCCACACGCCTCCGGGGCAGCCCACACGCCTCCCGGCCGCCCACACGCCTCCCGCCCGCCCACACGCCTCCCGCCCGCTCCCGGCCTCCCGGGGCCGCCCGCACGCCTCCGGGGCAGCCCACACGCCTCCCGCCCACACGCCTCCCGGGGCCGCCCACACGCCTCCCGGCCCGCCCGCACGCCTCCCGCCCGCACGCCTCCCGGGCCGCCCGCACGCCTCCCGGCCGCCCGCACGCCTCCCGGGCCGCCCGCACGCCTCCCGGGCCGCCCACACGCCTCCCGCCCACACGCCTCCCGGGGCCGCCCACACGCCTCCCGGCCCGCCCGCACGCCTCCCGGCCGCCCACACGCCTCCCGCCCACACGCCTCCCGGGGCCGCCCACACGCCTCCCGGCCCGCCCGCACGCCTCCCGGGCCGCCCGCACGCCTCCCGGCCGCCCACACGCCTCCCGGGCCGCCCGCACGCCTCCCGGGCCGCCCGCACGCCTCCCGGCCGCCCGCACGCCTCCCGGGCCGCCCACACGCCTCCCGGGCCGCCCGCACGCCTCCCGGCCGCCCACACGCCTCCCGGCCGCCCACACGCCTCCCGGGCCGCCCACACGCCTCCCGCCCACACGCCTCCCGGGGCCGCCCACACGCCTCCCGGGGCCGCCCGCACGCCTCCCGGCCGCCCACACGCCTCCCGCCCACACGCCTCCCGGGGCCGCCCACACGCCTCCCGGCCCGCCCGCACGCCTCCCGGGCCGCCCGCACGCCTCCCGGCCGCCCACACGCCTCCCGGGCCGCCCGCACGCCTCCCGGGCCGCCCGCACGCCTCCCGGCCGCCCGCACGCCTCCCGGGCCGCCCACACGCCTCCCGGGCCGCCCGCACGCCTCCCGGCCGCCCACACGCCTCCCGGCCGCCCACACGCCTCCCGGGCCGCCCACACGCCTCCCGCCCACACGCCTCCCGGGGCCGCCCACACGCCTCCCGGGGCCGCCCGCACGCCTCCCGGCCGCCCACACGCCTCCGGGGCCGCCCACACGCCTCCCGCCCACACGCCTCCGGGGCCGCCCACACGCCTCCCGGCCGCCCACACGCCTCCCGGCCGCCCACACGCCTCCCGGCCGCCCACACGCCTCCGGGGCCGCCCGCACGCCTCCCGGCCCGCCCGCACGCCTCCCGGCCCGCCCGCACGCCTCCCGGGCCCGCCCACACGCCTCCCGGCCGCCCGCACGCCTCCGGGGCCGCCCACACGCCTCCC